TCAGTGTGCCTTAAGCAAATGCCCTCCCCTCTAAGAATATGACTCCTCTTTCTGATTGGCCGCTTTAAACCCCACCTACTTTGAAATGCACATGCACCGTGGCTGAGGTAGTAAGAAGAATGAAGCATCCTGGGCTTGTATCGTTTACTTTCTCAGACGGGTTTTGGTCACCAGTTTCGGAGGTGAGCAGAGTATTGGGATTTGGGCTGGGGGGGGGGGGGGGGGGCTCAGAATGTGCCTCATATAGTCCCTTCGGATGCCTACCAGCAGACCTGTGGGACGTACAATGAGCTAAAGGAACGTAAGGCACTGCGACCCAGGTCATGGGGCCCTTTGACGGCTCCCAAGAATACAGTCAATCAAAGCCAGGCGATGTGGGAATTCCCTACAAAGCTTAACCCTAGCGGAGAATGGGCTGATGTGGAACACAAAGGCAGCATTTTCAAGCCCTGAATTATATAAGCATAGTACAATAGAATCAGAATGTTTCAAAAGTAGAGGATAACAGTTTTGGAATCCCATTGTTTTTAACAGCGTAGTTTAACGCACACAAAGATCAGTGAACTAAAAGCAACATTTGTTTTAAACTCATTGAAATAAATACACAGCTGTTCATTAGCTGAACAGCTGCAAAACTTGGCAGTGTGTTTATGGTCATGTAAGCTAGATGCAGAAATTCTGGAGACAGAACTGGAATTTCATATTGTTTTTAAACCCTCTGCTTATTTAGAAACGTGGTTACAAGTTTCTGTTGTGCAACATATGAAATGTATACGCATGTTGACACTTGCAATTCAGGATGAGTAATTAGCAGTTAATTTCAATTCCGTATGATCTTAAAGCCAATTTATTGATTCCTGGATTCCAGATTTAGAGATATTTACCACAGCATGTAGAATGTTGTAAAGTCTAACTTCTGTTAGTCAAAACATTCATTTATCTGCTTTCCAGAGACAGTGATCATACCTCCGGAGAAGCTGAATTAACTCTCCTGTTTGCCTTGCTGCTCTGCTGAGTTTTCATTGCACATGAATACGGATAATCGGTCTGCTGCTCTATATCACACTCCCATCCTGAGCAGGGACACTTGTGAAAAGTGAAAATGCCTTTTAGTTTTTGAGAGAAATTCCACTAAATCTCCTTTATCACTTCAAAATCTACAAAACACTTAAAGTGGCATCATAT